TTACGACATCATCTACAGTATTGTAGTAGGAGAAGGACTGGGTAAAAGACAGACATTAATAAAACTACAAGTGAACAAAAAACGACCCTAGAKTTACCTCATTTGGGAGGTTTTYGTTAWGCATATGCACTGTGGAGCATGATCAAAGTATATTGATCTAATTGGTTCGACTGGTCTAACTAGTTTAACTGGTCCAGCTACGTAGTCATTTCAGTTTCAGCTCATCTACCTAGTACATAGTCTAGCTGGTCTAACAGATCTAGCTGGTCTAACAGGTCTATCCAGTCTAACTGGACAACCTGATTTAACTGGAATATCCCAGTTGGGTCAGGTTGCAGCACCAAAGAACATTGCTGGCAATTGGTTGGCCTAGCACAGCGTGACTCTAAAGAACGAGGCATAAACAATAGAGCCTATTGTTCTAGCCAGCCAATCATAATGACTTTTATTTAGAGCTGTTATCATTTGATGAATCTACTCACSACAGCTCTCATGGCCAGGCCTTTTGATCCAGGGGGCAGCTGATAGCATCGGCGATCACCAAACGCTGGTGCACTCTTGGCTGCATCTCTAGATGTCCAAACAGAATTTAACTTAACATGACTACAGAGGAATCTAGTTAAGTCATAATTACTGTGTAAACTTTCAATTTCATTAAAATACAAAATTTATCAAATTATCATTACTAATTCAAAAGGTAAACACAATGGAAAATCATTGCCGTGACCGCATCTTTACATAAGAAGAGATTTGTCCTGATTTGCATATGACTTTAGCTTCRATTTTCTCTCAAAAATTATATTTTATTGCTTGTGGTTTTGAAATGCTCATAAATGTCTCCCCCTCATATTTTACATAATAATTAAACATCAGTTAGCCAACCTGAATGGACCATAAAACTTGGAAGCAAATTTAGCAGCATAACTCAACACAGCAACCTGTTCAAAGAACAAAATATTCTTTTGTGAAATAATGTCGGGTCAATATTTATAAATTTTGTTATTTATCTTGAATTAGTTTTAAAGGGACATGGTCCACTAGCATGCAATGCGGTCGTGTTTTAGATTTTTGATATATGGAAAATGAGGTGACTTCGAATATCCATTTGCAATCCATTTCCATCCATTGGTTTAATGGTCGAATCTTAAAGCATCTCGGTCCATTCATATAGGATAAAGGAATTATAATAAAGAGTAAGTTTTTGCTTATAGTACGATGTATTTCTATTTTCAATCATAAACAAAAGCTCGAAAGGGATGCTGGTGGACCATGTCCCTTTAAGTAGATGAACAGTACCAAGAACATAATAACAACATAATTAYCCAGTACCTTGCTTCCATAGCCATTTTTGCGTAATAGAGCTTTTATGGCTGCAATTCTGTTGTCCATAACATCTGAGGGRGCAACCACATGACATCCTATAGAATCAATGAGTAATTTAACATGAATTTTAGCCTTAACATGTAGTATTACCTGCAGATTCTTGAGAGTCTAACAATCTTATGATCAAAACAAGGATGAGTTAATATTTTAAGTACTTGTCATCACAGGGAGCACAGGCTCTTTATCAGTGTTTATCTTATGTAATCACCCCTCCCCTCTATATTTTACCATAATATTTTGAAGAATTTGTATGATGTTATTGCATTGTGAATCTCTCACTTGAATTGCAACAAAATCACTCAAAAGCTACATCTTGCTATTGATGCAACAATCCCCTGGAGAAGTTTCAGCCGATTTGGTTGGCTTTCTGAGGTTACATAAGAACCAATGATAAAGAGCCTACAGTGCTCTCTGTGTCGTCATATATCATGGGCATCATGTATCTTGTCATGTCTAACCCGCTTTTGCATAGGCCAGTGCCACTTCAGAAATCCTTTGTAAGGTTGGWGTCTTTTCAATAGACCCATCAGAGTTTAGTATCCCTGTAAAGAAAAACACTAAAACATTCAAAGCTGGTTCACTAGAGGAATAGACTTTTGAACCTTTTACGTCACTACTTGATTTTCAATGCATTGTTGGATCAGTTTCTAGAGAAAACAAAAGGAGTTTTGCCCTATTCTGTCCCCAAACATCCTACAATGCATTGTATATACTATATGGTACATGATGTAAAAGCTTCAGGTCTATTCCAATGGAAATATGCTGCTTAAAATGTTGGAAAATAAATAAGGAAAAAAAAATGAAAACGAGACTACAAGAAAATAAAAAAAATGATTTTCACAAGATGCATCATACCACAATGGCCATGATCAGTAAAAGGACAAAGACAAACATCACAGATAACAAGAAGGTCAGGAAATAATGCTCTTAGTTTCTTTATGGCATGAATTGTTGGGCATTCATCAGAGTCTGCATTTGTGCCGTTTGAATCTTTCTGCAGCCTTGAGATGACACCAAATAGCAACACGCTGGTGAGACCTTTCTTAACCAATGGTTCAACCACCTTTTCCAAGTTATTCACTCCAATTCTAAAAAAAACGTTTATGCATCATGCCAACACATATTGATTTGTATTCAGAGCTTTTTGGGGGACTTGAAGAAAGTTTCAAAAAGTTTTTAAAACTTTCCATAGCAAGCAATTTCTGKCTTAATTTTCATAATCCAGAAACAAGGGTGCATAGGGGCATAGCCATACAAATAAAAACAACGATAAACAAAGCTAGTAATTGTTCAAAGTACCCTTGGTAAACACCACGGCAGAAGCAAAAATATATTTTTTCCTGCACTTATGTCATATACTCAAAGATCTACGATTTTAGCTTGCGTTACATCCGGAACCACAGTCTAACACTCTTTAGCAGCCGCCCGTGTCGTCTGTCGTCACGCAACGCGGCTGCTAATAAAGGAGGATAATAACCSCTCTTTGTGGACTGGACGATACATGATCTACTACTGCAAAATACCTGAATTGTCCAGGAAGACTAGTTATCTCCTCAATATCGTTTTCGTTGTCCCTAGAAATAAAGGCGTTACATTAATCAAGTATTATTTCTGAGTTTAATCACAACAAATCACAAAATCGAAGGAGTTTGAGCGCAACAAGCGCATCTACACATAAGATTATAAAACAGAGCACAATATTTCTTATAAAACGCATGTTTTCCCTAAAATTTACTTACGATATAAAAAGTGGATAAATAAGATTGTAAGGGGTGATGGTTGTATTGCTGCAATTCCATTGCCGTGTAACGATATGCTGATAGCCGCTATGCAAAGCCACCAATCCATCCGCCATCTCGAAAAGTAATGCAAAGCAATTAGTATGGTCAGCGGATGAAAACTTCATTTCGGCTAAAACCTCATGTAGGGAGATTAGTGTGTTTTTATCAAAGAATTTTTTAGAACGAGCTTTCCTATTTTACTTCACCAAGTACCTAGCTTATAAGTAGTGCACGAGAGTCGACGAGAGCCATATGTTGTTTCATGTAATCTCGGTAGGTACAAAGAATCAATGTTGCTTTTATTATCCTCTRTAATGACCAAAATACTTCTAATTCATCTCTTTTGGACTGAATTTTCAGTTATAGTCAAAATTTAGGYAGTTATTATATGCAGTGAAGTTTCATAATTAAGCTCAAGTTTGCTGTATTTGAAAACTCTCTAGAACATCGAGCAAACCTAAGCTCTTTTTTCGTTTGTTCGCTATAGTTTCGAACCATAAATGTAGAGCTTTGTTGTTTTAATAGTCACAATGATCGAAGTCACATGCAATGATCGACTTGGAAAGAAGGTCAGAGTAAAATGCAAGTATCCTTTGACAGATATTAAGTTAAGTCTTTAGGCCCTGTTTACACGAGAGGGTGGCCCTAGTGGTAGGGCCAAAATCCTTTGTTTATAGTTATATGTAACTATCAAAAATACCGCCAATATCGGGGGACTASTGCAGATCATGGGAACAATAYCTCAAATCCTTCCATCTAGAAATCACTACAAAGGTCGCATGTAGTCAGTGGCCCATAATTTGAAAGATGTATTGGTATGTTACTTATAATAACAAAACAATCTTGAAAGACATCATCAGAATTTACTGTACAGAGGCTGGCCTTTGAGACCTCATTTTTATGCCCAGTGYCCTGGTCAGAAACAGTGACATACCCCACTATTTTTGAAAGTCGTGATTGGAGATCAGAGGAGGAGGAGGAAGGGAGAGAGAGAGGACGATGGGGGAAGTTATTGCTGTGCAGACAGTTTTGGAAATAACCTAAAATGATATGTGTGAATGGACTACTTCAGCATATTTGCAGACGRTATTTTGGCAGGAGGATAAATATAGAGTGACTGTTTCTTTTCCTACATTTGATAGAGATTAAAATAAGAAAAATTGTTAATACTAGATGGATATCAAAAAGATGAAGATGAAACAAATATCAAAACTGCTAGACAAACCAGAAAATGTTTTGAATGATACAAAAGGAATTTRAATCACAAAAATATCATTTGAATTGGCAAGTACTTTAAAAAAAATTCCTTTGGTGTCAACTGGGATTAAATTTACCTTTTTGTAACCTGAAAACATTGATTTTGTGAGTTGTAWAATATCAACCTTAAGATGTTGTTAGCCTTAATCCTTTACAAGCTCTGATGACACTATTGGTGACCTGAAAAAATTAGTTGCTGCACAAACTGGTACAAAATCTGAAAGAATCATACTAAAGAAATGGTGAGGCTGTAGTATAATGTAATTTAAATGATATTAATTGTATAAGCAATCATGAATTATTGATATTATTGATGGATTGGTGGGATTTAGTGCATGATTTATTCTCGAACACAGATTCTTATCAGTTTCCCAATGAAAATCGAAGACTCTGATTGGAAA